GAATCACACTATCCAAAACAAAATCCATTACCATCAGCGCCAAGATGGGGCTAATAGGAGAACCCATAGGAGTACCAAACTTCTGAACATAAATCTGATCTTGAAACGAAAAGTAAGTATTGTCAAAAACAAACTTTAAAAGTATACAAAAGGTTTCCAAATTAAAACTGCAATGATCATCAATTAAATTCCACTTGTCTTTCACAATATTAAGGACCAAATCCAGTGGGATGTTCGTAAAAAGACTTATTACGTCAAGTGAAACGACAACAAAGTTCTTAGGGATGTGACAGCCTTTTACTTGACTGACAAAATCGAAGGTGTCTTTTACATTGTAAGATGTAGCATTACTTAAGGCAGTGGTTAGCATGTCAGATAAGAACTTTGACAGGTTATACACGGTTGAACCACAAGCTGATATAATGGGTCTTAATGGAGTATTGGGTTTATGGACCTTAGGAAGGAAGTATGCTTTACATAAGACTGAATGTTTGGTACATATAAGTTTGTGTTCATGTTCATTTATGGATTTTTCATCATAAAGTTTTTTAATTAAATTATTTAACTTTCTTTGTATGGTGTCTACAGGATATTTAGTTATTTTTGCATAGATGGTTTGGTCTTGAAGCATTTCGTTGACTTTATTTAAATACTCATCTGTTTAAAATTCAATTTATAACTTCAAAATTAATACGTTTATTCATTTATTTATTTTAATTTTTGTTTGAGTGTCGAGTGGTGCGTGTGCAGAAATTTCAAAACGTGTAATGTAACTAGTTATATCTTTCAATAAATCCTCTTTTGTGTCCAGCCTTCAAGTGTATCAGTTCTTCCTTGTGAAACGAGTTATTCTTTGTGTAAATTTAAACATTGATTAAAAGAGTAAGACTTAATTATAAACATTATCATATCGCGGAACTTACCTTTAATTTTCTGTCGTTCACTATAAACTTTTTCGAGTTAACGTTAAATAATCTATTTTTATTTTTTTTTTTTAAACAAATTTTCTTGAACTGTTTTCGAACATTTTTTGGTCCTTCGAGCCGGATCAACTCGCGGATGTGCGTACGGTTTAACTTGCGGACATCTTTTTCGAGTTAGCGGCGATTCTGATTAATATTATAGATTATTTATAACTAATTTCTTTCGGTACGGAGTTAATTATTCTAGTTCGGATATTTTCTAACGAGACTTTATTTCTTCGCATTCAAGATGTCTACTGAAGAAAAAAAGAGAGACATAAACGCGCTTTTCGAGCAACAAAACGACTTTTTCGGTACAATTTCTCGCGTTATAGACAATACAAAAAAGATGGGGAGAGGTAACTGGACAACCAGCAATCTTAAAAGTCGACTTGATCGACTAGAAGTCAGTTGGAATGAATTTTTTAATATTCATAAGAAATTAATCCCTTGTAAAGTCGAATATGCCGATACTATATACTTTTCGGACGATCAATTCGCGGTTTGTGAGGAAGCGTATTTGGACGCAAAGACTTTTCTTCTGGAATCTTTACGGTCCTTAAGGGGATCCTCTGCAGCATCTTCGGTTCGAAGCAGGCAATCGGTGGCACCTTCGGTTGAGAACTGTTCGAGTCCACAACCAATTCAACCAGCAGCTGTACCTTCGTATTCGCGTTCGAGACAACTGCCTCAAATTAAGCTTCCGGTTTTCGATGGTAGTTACAGTAACTGGCCACAGTTCCGTGATTTGTTTTTCTCAATGGTACATTCCAACGATGATATTTCCAACGTTGAGAAATTTCATTACCTAAAAATGTGCCTTATTAATGAACCCGCGCAATTACTTAAGAACTTATTAGTTACCAACGACAATTTTCAACGGGCGTGGACGTTATTGATAGAACGTTATGAAAATCGTCGCGTTATGGTAGACACACAATTAACGCTATTGTTGTCGGCGCGCTCTCTTAAAACTGAATCAGCTTCTGAATTGAAGAAACTTCTCGGGGAAGTTAAAGAAGCATTGGGGGCATTGGAGTCGTTGGGATGTCCGATAAAGTATTGGGATAATATTTTGGTTTATTTGATTGTTCGCAAGCTCGATTCAGAAACGGCTAAAGATTGGGAAAAGTCCATTAGCAGTTATCGTGACCCTTCAACATTCGAGGAGTTTGAGGAATTTCTTGTTCGTAGGATCTACACCCTTGAAGCGATCGAAAAGCTGCCTGGAAATAATAAAAGAGTTACGCAATCGTTTAATAAAAATTTTAATTTCAAATCTCACAACGCATCAGTTCCAACTTCGGGATGTTCGGCTTGCGGCGCTGCTCATTACATTGCCACTTGCCCAGAGTATTTAACACGGAATGCGTCTCAAAGAACAGATTTAATAATCTCACGGGGTCTCTGTTTTAATTGTTTGGGGCCACACTTGTTTAAAAAATGTCGAGTTTCTAAACGGTGTCGGTTCTGTAACAAGCCCCATCATTCCACCCTTCACGAAGCTCCTCCCGAGGCACGTATATTTAATAATAAAAACACCAATCCACAATCGAACTCTCCAGCGAAACAACTTCCTTCATCAAGCCATGTCGTGCATTCTCATCACCTTCAAACTTCGGTGCTCCTTGCCACGGCTTTAGTGCGGATCATCTCGCCCCGCGGAGATTCGTTAATAGTTCGCGCGTTGATTGACCAAGGTTCGGAGGTGTCTTTCGTCGGCGAAACATTAGTTCAACAGCTTCATCTTCAACGGCGTTCAGCGAACGTTCCTATAACCGGGATCGGGTCGAAGCGTACCTGCGTTACCAACGGCGTGGTATCGGTACGGTTGGTTTCGCGACTGAATCCGATCATTTCCTTCGAAGAGGAAACTTTAATTTTACCACAATTAACCTCTTATTTGCCTCAAAAGCGTTTTAAACACTTACCGATTGAAATGAGTGACCTGCCTTTAGCGGATCCAGAGTTTACCTCAGAAAGAAAAATCGACTTAATACTGGGAGTTCAGTTTTATTCAAAAATAATTCAAAACGGTGTATTAAAGAGCAAAGACGGTCTTTTAATTGCGCAGCAAACTGCCCTCGGTTGGGTTCTTTCCGGCGCGTTATCTGAACAACCTTCTAATCATTCGAGCTCTTATGGTTTTCAATGTTCCATCGACCGGGAATTCCTCGACGTGATGCAGCGCTTCTGGAAGCAAGAAGATGATACCGTCAATATTCCGCGTCTTTCATCTGACGAACGCAAGTGTGAAGAGCATTTCACACAAACTCATTCGCGAGATTCGAACGGTCGATTTTTAGTACGGTTACCTTTTCGGAAGTCGCCTAATGAGCTCGGAACTTCTTATTCGGTCGCTGTGGGTTCTTTCAACCGAATGGAGTTAAGGTTCGCGAAAAATGAACAGCTCAAGTTCGAATATAGTAAATTTATGAGCGAGTATCTTTCATAGGGACATATGCGGCATGTTTCTGGGAAATTAACTTTTCCGAACTATTATTTACCTCACCATGGAGTCGTTCGTGAAACCAGTTCGACCACGCGATTGCGGGTGGTTTTTAACAGGTCCCAACCAACGTCAACGGGAGTGTCACTAAACGATTGCCTTCATACGGGACCAAAACTCCAAAACGAATTAATAGACGTTTTAATGCGGTGGAGGCGCCACGCGGTAGCTTTTTCGTGCGATCTTGAGAAAATGTACCGCCAGATCAAGGTGCATGAGGATGATTTACCATTCCAGAGGATCGTGTGGCGGGAAGACTCTTCGCAAAAGCTTAAGAGCTACGAACTCACCACGGTTACGTACGGTCTTTCATGCGCGCCTTACTTGGCAATTCGTTGCCTTCGTCAACTCGCGAACGAACATCATTCTCGTCAACCTCTCGGCGCGGTGATACTTTTCAAAGACACGTATGTTGAC